CTTTTTGTTGTTTTGCAAAACTGATAACAATGAAAGCTGTTAATGTATTTTATAACACCCAAGTTGACATTCAGCCACTCGCTTCTTTAAGAAGTGGCTTTAAATTGTTTTTACCCCCTTTGAAGATAATTTGGCATCTTACTACAGATTAGTTCCAAATTCTGAAAAACGTTTCAATTATCGTGACTCATTCCTCCTACTGTATTCCGTTACAGAGCCAGAAAAATGTCAATAGCCCAGGCAGTTTGAGCATTACATGGGGAAATTAATTATTACCCCACGTGCTTCGCGATAATGCACTCAATGCACAGGAAGGAGAACAATGTCAAAATCAACACATATCAGTACTTCAGTTAGAAGCCCTGTTAACACTAACGTCCCCAAGAATCATTTCAGGCACATATGGTGAGACGACTGCGCTTCACATTTTTTGAATCTCTTTCAAAGCTGTATAGCAATAGAATTCACTTGGAGGAGCCATCGCAGACTTCACTCTGCTGAAGGTGAACAAAGACTGGTTCCATGTTTTGCAAACTTTGTAACTTCGGCATGTACTTGCCTCCACAGAGCCAAGCGTCTGTAAAAAGTTTCAACTCTTGCTATTGCACAGGAAGAAGGAAAGGAATACGTATTACCTCAGCCTTGGTGCTGAGCAGTCTCACAATTTAACTTATGGGACTTAACTACACGGAGGAGAGATGGAGAGCTATAGAGCGTTGAATCCCAGACACCATCAACTGCAAGCAGCTTTGTTATTTTATGTACTACTAAGAAAGAAAAACACTGCCAATTAAACGATGACACGTCATTGATTTTAGGACATGCTTTGATCTCAGAGATGTTAAAAAGTGAAAAAAAAAAAGGGCTTCTTAGAGCCGATAAACTATGGAATTTAAACCGTGCTGGTGATTCACTCTGCATTTTATGCAATAGAAATAATAAGCCCTGGCATACACAAAATGCTAGCTTTGAATTTTGATCATCTTTCTGACAGTCTCCTCTGTCTTTCCCAAGATTCACAGCTAGGCAGGTTTGGAAAGAACCCAAATGCAAGCCAAGTACTTCCTGTGGTATCTTTCTATGGCGTCTCCTAGGTGGAGTTGCCAAATACAATACAGGGAGCCCAGTTAAATTAGAATTTCAGATAAAATAATATTATTTTAGTATAAGTATGTCCTCAGTTCTACAATACATGAGATATACTAAAACAAATTAGCTGAGTGTCTTGTATTTTTATTTGCTAAATCTGGCAACCATGCTCCCAGGGCAATTTGACTGCCTTTGACCTCTACCACATGCTTTCACTCTAGGACCTTAATCTTCACCTGGAGGGAGCCTCCCTTAATACTTTCCTCACTCCTTACAACAACCCTGAGAGTGAGGGATGATTGCAGGTCAGTTTGGAACTACAGGTGCTAAATTTCCTCCTCACACTTGAATGTCGCATCAGGTTAGTTGGTTTGAGTCTAAACGTTTAATCCTTTTACAGGGTAGTTAAGGTCCAAACGATACAGGTCACTGAAGAGACATGAAGACAGTAAAGTCACTTTTATCCTTGAAAGTAACCACTGTGGATTGGTCAGTGTTCATTGTCTTGGGGATGGTGTATCAGAGTAATATTTTAATATAATAATAATAACAGTAGCAGCAGCAGCAAACACTAAGCACCACTTAACGACGTCAGGCACATCACTACTCACAATTATTTTACTACTCCCTTTTTATAGAGGGGGAAAGTGAGGCACAACAGATTTAAGGAACTTGCCCTTCTCCTTGTTAAAGTCTGGGCCTAACTAGCCTCATCTTAGAGAGCCTTTGCTGGATGCTCCTTAGATAATCCTCTCTCTCCCATCACTCTTTATTATAATACGATTTCTTTGCAAAACTAAGTTCCCTTTCCAAAGCCTTTCAAACTAGGCTAGCTCCTTCCAGCATCATTTCCTTTGGGAATGCCCATCTCACTTGTAATTAACCATTTGGTGTCTGTCCTCCTCACCTGGATGTCCCACCCCATGAGGACAGGAAAGGGGTGTGTCTGGTTCAGTGCTTTAGGGCCAGGGCCGGCCCCTAGGAGTGCAGGGACAGAATAAATATCATGTGTATTATTAGTCAGTAATCATGGCCTTTCCCTTGGACAGCCGAAGGTAATCTAGAACAGTTCGTCTGAAGTGAAACTCCTCCATTAAAGCTCGTCCAAGATAAATAGTGCCTTTTGGGTATCCGCTGTTTAAGATCATTAGGGCTTATCCTTGTTAGCTGGGAAATGGCTTCCAGCCACCGGGTTTCTGGGTTGCCTCAGGGAAGCAGAACTTGATTCCAAACCACAGCTTGTTTAATTTCCAAGTCCCTGGGTGGTTCTTCCAGCACATGCTTCTTGCCCACCCGGGCCTTTTCCAGGTTCCCTATCCCTGCAGAAACTGAGACCCTATTCAAAGACTCCTGAACTAGATCAGTATCCTGGTGTCACTGGGACAAGCCCGTGGCCCAGACACCCCTTTGACAGGATGTGAATAGGAGGAAAACAGTTCTAGAGCAGAGTTTGCAAAGGATAGCCTCAATCCTCTTGATAGGGTCACAAACCATGGGCTTAGACAGATGTATTATTTCTCTGTGTGTATGGGCTCTGTCTACACACACACATTCCACCCCAAAATGCAGTGCTTCTCAACAGTTAAGTGCATCTTAGAACTGGCTGAGAAATTTGAAAAAAGTCCCCAAACCCAGGCTTGCCCCCAGACCAATCAAATCAGAACCCCTGAGGTGGACCCAGGCATCAGCAGTTTTTAAAGTTCTCCATGTGATTCCAAGGGCCGCCAGGGTTGAGCATGACTGTTCTTAGGAAAGCCACAGACTACCATCCGGGAGAAACCTCTAAGTTTTAAAAACCTTGTACAACAGGGTTTTGCAAATATGACTAGTTTTTGCTTTATTTATTTCCTATTTCCCATAAACGACTTCCAAGCGCCGGCACAACGTTGCCATCTGTAAGGCATATGACAATAACAGACGGTTGCCTAATAACCAAAAAGGCATTAACATTTGTTTGCAGGCTCTAAATTATTTGGATTCATCTGGTATGATCTGCGTTGATGAGGCCACTTAATGCTTGATTTCTGTGTCTTCCGATGGCGCTACCAGAAGTGCGGAGGCCATATTTTCTGAGCTCTGCATTGTTCTTTGTCATCCTACGGAATTGTTACAAGATGGATTTATAACAGACCTAAAGCTAGTATCAAAATGAAAATTAGTTCTTGAGTAGAAAAATAGCAATCCCGTTTGACTCGCCTGTAGCAATTGCATCATATCTGCCTCTGCAAGGAAGGAAATGACTTCTTAATGTGGTTTTCTTCCACTAAAGAGAATTAAATCTATGTGGCAAAATGTAAAACCGGCACGCTGGCAGCCAGATTCTGAAGGGAAGATCCATGACCCTCATAAACATATCTGTGGCCTGGTTATATGCTAATGAGCCTCATTTAGGCGCAAGCTTACCCTGAGTGGAAATATAGCTCAGCTGGAGAGCCAGGCTATTGTTTCCTCACTGTTTTGCCTTCTGTATTAGTTTGCTCTGAAATAATGGGGCCATTTTTCCATCTGCTTCAAGCAACCAGGGTGGGCGTCGACCTGGGTTAGACTGAGAGCGATGTTGACCTGAAGTAGCAAATTCCACTACTTTGGAAAACTTGATAGGCTTTTTGCCAAGTCAGCAAGATTCTTTTCAAAGGTCTGACTTTGGGGTGAATATGCCTGGTGGGTGGAGCAGGACCCGTGGAACTGTCCCCTCTGCAGCTGCAGGGCAGCTCCTCTGGGATAGATCAAATAGGCACAGATTGTTGGGAACCATGCTGCCAGTACCGCTGCCTAGCTAAGTGATCTTTGACAAGTCAAGGAACTTCCTGAGACCTCAATTTCTTCCTTGGCAAGATGTAGCAACACAGCTGCCCTGTCTGTGTGTGGGTTATTGTGAGGATTAAATGAAATGGTGCACGATGCAAGAATACGCTGCGAGGAGACTGCCCTTTGCATCCTGAACACTAGCCATCATGGATGCTATTAAACCATTTGCCTCAGCCTCCTCTTTAACACAAAATACTACACTGTTCCTGCCTCCTGTGAAGAAGTGATAGCTTCAGCATTTTGCAATGTATAGAGCCACAGACAGGAATAACAAATTTACTTAATAAAACTGAATGGCAATAGGAGATGAAGAGGGAAAACTGAGTTCTTCTAATGGAGAGAATTCTGAGAACTTCCTCTCTCTCTGATAGAATGGAAATGTTATTCACTCTATAGGTGAATCTGAGACATACAAGATGTTTTTAAATAAATATGAGCATCTGAAGAGGATTTTAAAGTGATTCAACAAAGGCCAATTGTTAATTTTTTGATAAGTTTCCTCACTTAATATATATTTTTAAATCATTTGCCTGCTTGCAGCCTGTTTGAATGGACATACTTTTATTTCTTACTCAGTACTCACGGCCCCTATATTATTATCCTTAATGTGCTTGGGCTATTTTGCTCATGGAACAAAACTGCTCAGAGCTCATATAAGAGAGGCTAAGCCAAAGAGAGTGGCAAGTACACCCCAGGCCAGCTTGGGCGGATGGTCATGGGTAGGTGGCAAACTCAATGTCTTTAATGTCTGCTATGTAAAATACATGAATGATGCCAGCCAAAGGAGAAGATTGGAGAGGGGTGGGGATTATGGTAACTGGCAGGATGCCCCTCAACCTGTGACCCCCACTCTCAACCTCAGCAGACGATTACCAGGCAGCCAACAGGACACAGTGTAGCCTAATCTGGTTATTTTATTGCAAAAGCTGGAAATGTGGGTTTTTACGTGACACCTCCCTGGTTTCAAAATTTGGCAACTAATGCAATTATAAGACACACACCTCCCAGCCTCCATTTTGCGAATTGTGTTCAGCTACCTCACAACACTTGCTCAAGGAGATCCCAAGGACCCATTAATGAGGTGTTTTTTTTTTCCTCCAAAGCTCCAGAAACATGACAAAGAGGAGGAGGACGTCCCAGCCTTGTGGAGATCGGAGGAGGACATGGCAGCAGAAGCTGCAGCACTGCGGGCCTACTTCCAGTGACGCAGGTACCGACTGTTCCCTTCATCCTCACTGAGAGCCTCCGAGGGCCTCGGATAGGGCTCCCTGCCCAGGGCAAGGATGCAGGACAGCACCTGCGCTGACCTCCTGGGGTGGTGGCTGCAAAAGACATAGAAGCCAGCGTGAGAAAACCCTGATCTGTGAGGCACTCATTCCAAGCTCTGAGTCCCCTCTTCCTGCCTCTGTGTCACCTGCCACATAACTCCCCTGTCTGTCCACTTCCTTCCAGCCTGCTCCGCCAGCCCACCCCCGGCCATCATCACCTCTCTCCGGTTTCCTCTTCTCTAATCACATTTCCACAAAGTATCCTGAGATAGTTTGTAACTCAAACCAGACCATTTAAGGGTCAACATCCTGTAAGGGAATCACATCACTCTCAGGCTCAAGTCCCAAACCCTGTTATGAATCTGCAACGCTCTGTGAAGCAGCTCTCTCTACCTCGGGACCAGGCTGGCCACACCCCGGCCAGCCCTCCTTCACCCTGGGCCTGTCTCCCCAAATGCTATTTGGTAAATTGTCCTTTGTGTTTCCCTTTCGCTTTGGCTGCTAGGAAGCTCAGGCCACAGGGAAAGTCAGGGTGAGAATGAATTATCCATTTGCATTAATGTTGTTCAACTACTGGGAGATCATAGATTTCACATGCTAGTAGAAATCCGTAGCCAATATCCTTTTTGGAATGCATTTACACAACAAATTTTTATACAATGTCAGGGAGCTTGCAGATCTTCTGAAATTTATTAATAAATGGGGTTGCCATGCAATATCGGGGTATATACCTAGACTAAAAAAATATTTGTTATCTGAAATTCAAATTTAACTGGGCACCCTGTATTTTATCTGGTACCCCTGTTACTAAACCTCCTTAGGAATTATGGACTCCAGATAAGGAGACTCTCTTCTAAATAGTTTATTTTTTTTTCTTTTTAGAACTGCGTTCTTCATCTGGTCTTGTGTAAATGTGTTTATATTATAAGCTGCTGAAGTAGATCAGATACTAATTAAAAACACAATTACTGAACACATACTAGTAGCAGCTGAATTATATAAAATTGTATCAACCACTTAGTGATCCTGACTTTTAGCTAGCAAACACATACATTGTGTTTCTTTTTTACTTTGAGGTGTGAGCCCTTTTTGGTTAGTTTAAAATATATGTGTATCCCATGGCCTTTTTCTCCCCAACCTCATTTTTAAAGTATTCCAATCACTTAAGGGCACAGTGTCAGCTATCTCTCCATTATTGTAGGAGTGTGTTGTTGTGCTCAGGCCCTTGCATTCTGGAAAGCTTATTTCATTGTCCCATGTCACTGGTTTGTCAGATCTGCAACTCAATTGCCTGAAGGGATATAGTGTGGCTGCTAGCAGCAGCTGTCTTTGATATTTCCTTTTTACCCTGTTCACCTTCTCGCTTCTTTTTTTTTTTTCTTCTTTTCCTTTTAAGGATCAAGCTAGTTTACCTAAGAACATAGGCCTAAGGGCATGATTGCAATCCTCTCTCTATTCCTTTTCTGAAAGCTAGTGTCATTTTGGAGTGTCCTGTCCAAATGGGGTCACCATGCTTCAGCCTCAACTTCCTAGGCGAATGCTTTTCCCTCCGGGTTTCTTCTGGAATGTTACATTCAGGTGGAGGCAGGAAGGCTCTAGGCTTTTCCCGAGGTTTGCAGGATTCCGTCTTACACTTTACTTTCTTTAAGAGCATTGCGATGTACTGAAGTTTCCTGTATGCTTTGCTTCTGTCTTGCCTTGAGGCCCAGCATTACCTGCCTTCCAGGTAAATCAACTTGCCTTACAAGTCTTGCCAGGAAGATAGTTACGTTAACTTGTTATACAAGCCATCGCCACAACGCTTGTGGGTTTTTTAATTAGCTAACATGATTTTCCCTCTTTAAAGGCCTTTGTTTACAAACCACCTTCAGTTTTCTGGGCAGTCAGGGAGTTAGATACTCTAACTGAGACCAGCATGGGTAATGTGGGTTGCCCAATAGTACACAATTAGTAATTGGAGGTGGGGAAAATTATTAGTGTCCTAAGATTTCTTCCAGAGCATCATCATTTCCTGTAGTATAATGGGACTAAATATGCCTGTCTTTACAGACAAACGGGAAAGGAAACACTCTTTTTAGGAAAACTACTGGTTGAGTTGGTCCACATCTCCCTTCTGCTTAGGTAAATTTCTGCACTGCCCTGCACTGGCTGGGCTGAGTTCTTCGAGAAGGGTTTGGCGATGGCTTTTTTAGTCTATGTTCTAAATCACATTAGCTGACATTGGATCTGCATCTTTTACCTAATCCTGCATCCTTCTTGGAACATAATAATTTCTTATTTAAGCACTTAACACTTGGGTTTGCTGCCTCTATACACCCATGTTATGTTTCCTACTTAATTTTAAAGCAATAATGTGTGTACTAGTGGAGGAAGATTTTATTATCTCCCGTCCCCATTCCCACCCCATGTTTGAAGTGAGTGGGGCGCATTGTTTGTGCAATATGCAAGCATCACCCCTAATTCTGAAAGAAAGGCAGGGCAGGGTAGGTTTCCACACTCTGTTGTATCAGCAGACTTCGTTTGTAATTCATCAAACTCTCCTCTGTGCCTGCCGTTATTTGTAGATAGTTGGTTGACTCTCATTTACTCACAACAGAGCCTTGCAATTTCATAGCAACTGAGTCAGCCCAAAACAGCATTATTATTATTAGTGATATACTGTCAAAGCAAAATTTTGACACTGGAATTTCTGAAAAATCACCGTGATTTCAGTCACTGCCCCACACTTATACACACGGACAGTCGAGGTAGACAAGAAAAAAACTGGTTTGCTTAGTGAATATGTGTTCTCGTCACTGAATTGTACCTTTTGAAATCTATGCTACCAGCCTGGGAAAATCCTCCACTTTCTCAGAGAGGGTCTCCTATCAGCACAGCAGCCTGTCATGAGAAAGGCCCAGGAAGCAGATCAAATTCTCATGTTTTCTTGGTAGCAGAGGGATGGTTAACTTCAGCTCCTTGGCTAGTTTGATCCTAAACCCACTAGGTAATCCCCATCTGGGGGTATTATCAATACCAATGAAAGCATCTGCTGACACTAGCCATCCCCAGATGGATACAATAAAAGATTTTCTTCAGTGTGGAAGTACAAGAGATGATTGATTCTTCATTTAAGGTTAATGATACTTTAGTATGTCAAAAGCTCTTTACCAAAAAATAACCCATCCTCTTAAACATAGCAAAAAAAGCAATTTCAGTTTGCTTTCTCCTTCATCTCCAGTTCATGTTTCTATTGGACTGTGTGCTGTGTCTCCTCTTAGTCTGTGTAGACTATGATTATAGAACCAAATTTTAGTAGCAAGGAATTAAAGACTCAGTTATGTGGATTAGATATACATAAAACAAGCCCTGTGGCCTAAACTGGGAATTATAAACCATAGAATCACAGAGACTTTAGAAAGAATGAAATCTAATGTCCCATTAATTATTTTACTATAACCCAAAAGAATAGCCATCTAATTATACTTTAAAAACCTCTCTTTAATAAACATTCTATGAGACAGTCTACCCATGGTTCCAAAATGGGTTGTTTGGTTTAATTTGATTATTTTTTAAATGTTTTACCAAGATCCAGCTTCCTCTAACATGTACCTAATAGTTCAGATAAAACATTACTACAGGCCATTGATGGCTAAAGAATATACAGAACTGTTCTGTTGTGATCTAGTTCAACTCATGGTAGAAATGACTGTTTACTATAGTTGATTTTAACCCTTATGAATCCTGGAACTGCATGACCAGTCAGCACAGAGTCTTTTCCAGAAAAGTGTAATCCGAATGCCACAACTAATTTTTAAGACTTTCAAACTTTACTTGCATCTTGCAAAATAATAATGAAATAAAGCCTGTCACCACCATCATCATCATCTTCCTCTTCATCACATTTCCAGAAATGAATAATTTATCACACATCAATCCCCATACTCTTGAATGACAAAAACCTTCTAAAATTATCTACCTACTCTCAACACTTTTTTTTTTCTCTCTCTACTTGCTTGCCTCCACTCTGTGTGGTCCTTTACTACTATGTTTGTGTTTTTATCTCTGCCAGAAAGGAGAGCAGGGAAAAAAGACTCTCCTAGAGGTCATGGGAAGTTAATATGAAAAAAGACTATGAAAATTCACGTTAATAATCTGTAGCCTGTCATTTAATAATAGCTACTATTTATGCAGTTCATTCCATCCTATGCCTGAAATGTCCTTCAACCACCTCCTATATAATTGCTGCATTATTTTGACATTCCAGGGGCTTCAAGCAAGTTATCATGTAGGCACTTGATCAATTCAGGGTACACTAGAAAAACAGCTCTAAATCGTGCTTCTTCTAGTGTTAATACTTCTCTGATGATCCAAAAGACACTGCAGGATGTTCTGCTGCCTCTAATTTATCATGAGTGGTGATCAATGGAGACTGTGTGTTATTTATTAAACTAAAGTCCAAAAGCTGGAGAGAAGAAAGGGTAGGAACAAAGGACAGAACATTTATAGAATTAAATTGTCCCATTGGAACCACTTGTACCAATGGTGTTAGTAAAATTAGATACCAGCCCAATTCTAGGTCATGTGCCCTTTCTTCTTCCTATTTCCCCTCATTTCTTCTTCATGGGTAAGTGAGGCAGAGCATGCTCTTTGGAGAGGACGGGCGCTGTACAAAGACAGAGAAAGAGAGGGCTGGGAAGCCATCTTGGGAACACAATGTCACTGTCTTATACCCACTGCTTTAGTGGATGAATGCCTGCCACCTCTCTGTGCTCTCCCCAGGCCCCAGTGAAGAGACCTCCCTATTTTTGTTCACTATTACCATTTTGAAACGCTATCACAAGGCAAACCTTGTTTCCTCTGCTACAGTCTCTTGTAAATAATCTGGAATCAAGAGAAAAAGTCAAGAGGCAAGAAACGCCCCCTCTAAAGCAAATGCCTGTCTTGAACTTTGCATAGAACC